GGGTGATTGCTGTGGCAAAGATCGATAGAAATAGCTGAGAGACAGGCGAAACAAAGGAACCGCATGGTGTGGTGGTGAACGCGTTACTCGCCGGAAAGGACAATAGCGCGTTCGTTCCCCACCATAGACACTTGCGGTCCAGAGGTTTGCAAATATCTCAGCAACGTTGTGGTTTTATTTACAATGTTATTTATGCGTCGATAAACCAGCCTAGTTCAACAAATGTAAAGAAACCTTATTTGTAATGTTATTTAGAAGTAAATAGGATCTAATAGACCTACTGCTGGTTGAAATTCGATGAAGTCCACGCGAATGTTTCCTCCTATGTAAATTGTTTTCACCTCCTCAACTGGAACCCGGTGGGGATAATCGCAAACATGCTTTCCATTCACTGCAATCTGAAAAAAGGAACATTAAGAGACGTGGTAGCGCTATCCAAAAGATATCAAATACCTTAAAATAATTCTCAAGGACGAGTATCCTTAATTGAAACGGCTTTCCCGGTTCAAATGGATTAGGGAAACGTTCCTCTGTACACCATCGATTGCTAATATACGAATTAATAACTAGTTGGCGGTCTGGTTGGCCAGAAAACCTCAAATGAATGATTCTGATTCAACAGATGCGGCTAAAATAATTGACCGAAGGATTTCTAGATTGTTCGTCGAGATATCAATAACACACAAAGAACAAAAACATCCACTCACCAACCGCCACCTACATCGAAGCGTGGGTTGATGTGAAGTGCTTTGTTGTCCATATGGTCACCTTGCACCAATAAGCCACAACATAAATCGATACAGAACCTAAAAGGAATAAAAAGATTATTCAGAACTAAATCTAATTCAAGAGATATTTCCACCTCTCATAGAAACGTCTGTTTAACAATGAAACGAATTTTGGGATGAGAGATTAAAGTAATTGAACTTGAAGATAGAGAGTGATAACACGTTACTGCGGACCTCTTCGAATCACTCACAAACTGCTGCAACACCATGCCGCTTACGACGATGGCTCGACCAGGAAACAAACCGCCAACAATTGACGAAACAAATGGAAGGTCCTAGAACTAATGACATTAGAACTGCACAAAGATTTCGTTATCTTGCACAAGTTTTTTTTTTTTGGTTTCCTCTCAACTATTCTATTGGTGTATCAACAAGACACGAGCTAAGTTGTACTTTGGTTTAGTAATCTGAAAAGATAAACAATAATTGGTCACTACTTATATAACCACCAGATCCTTTACATCGCGCAAGAATCTGTAACAGCTTTTATGTTCAATAGATCCTCACGTAGATTACGAAACAGCGAAACACTTCGGCATTGCTTTATAGTTGGAAGTGAATCCTGGTAACAAAGCAGACAAAGTCCTGCATCTCGCTCCGGTATGGATATCAAATATTTTAAACAAAGGCGATGATTTCATAAAACACCATGAAAACCCTTTCATACGTAATCCGAAGACCAGTCTTCTTGAAAAGTATACTGAATTCATGGCATACTCAAAAAAAGAATTGGGTCTAGTAACGAAAATATAGGTTTCATTCCCTTCAAGTATAGCGTATTTTCACAATAATTCAATTCAACCAACAGACGCATCCTAATCCGACAGCTACCACACAGATCATCATTTCCTTTAAACACAGTGTTGAGTAACATCCGAAATCAAAGTTGTTTGGTATTCCAGTACTATATCGCCTGCAGACTTCACAAGAATAATTGAAAGGAAGTATGTAAGTACACGTGAGAAACCACTGGAAAAAGCAGAAGGAAAGGTTGCTAACACTCGGCCATCTTCAAACTAAGACATTTCTATCTCTATTATGTTTAGAAAAAATTCGCGGATAATGGACAGTTTGCCAGAGATCGACTTTTCTACAAATAAACATGTCTACGTTGAACAACCGAAGATGGAAGGGATTCTCTATTTTTTAAGGATTTATCTTCATTTCGCAATCTTCAATGCACTGCTCCATTCTTTGACCAAACACAATACCGTGTGCACAGATATATTCGCATTTTAAGACTGTTCCATTCTGTTTTATTTAAGCTTAATCTCAATGCAGTCCAAAATGGGTCTTATTCATGGTAACAAATTATTCTATTTGGCATCACCCGTCATCACATCTACTTTGCGGATCGTAGCACTTCTTGCATTCGATTCGTTTTCCTCGCATTCATCTTCCACAATGGTGTTCGAATTTTTCACGTGCTTTTTCGGCTACCGTTTCAGAATTTCGTCTTCTTTGTGAATGTGGTGCTGTTCAAGTCGCTTGTTCTTGAAGACTTGGGGATACTAGAGCTGGAGCAGGATCCGAAGAGAGCATTGGTGGGTCGGAGTAAGACCTTACGTCCTGATCGGCTACATCATTAAATACTGCGTTACCCCATCTTGTTCCATTCCAGTGTTCGCATGACGCTCTCGAGGTTGGGAGTAAACAATTTCTGCGAGATATCACCTTGTCAAGGCTCTCACTTAATGTCTATGTTAATACCGTTGTATAATGCTGATATCTTGGTTGTGAAATCTTGTATAGCTCACGAAGAACCTTTATATACTGGGTAGGGACTACCTGACCGTCCAGGGCTTCCATGACTGCTTCGATCTCGATTAAGTCAAAGGCCTTCTTTAGATCGATAAAAGTGAGACAGAGCGGTCTTTTGTACTCTCACGATACTTCAATGAGTTTTGTTATCGTGTAGATATGGTCCATCGTACCGAATCCTTTTCGAAACCCTGCTTGCCCACGTGACTGTCCTTCGCCCAATGCTCTGTCAATCTTGTTTAGGTTGACTCAAGTGAAAAGTTTGTAGACGACAGAGAGCAAGCAGATTGAGCGATAGTTGCCGATATCGTGAAGGACACCCTTCCTGAACAATAACACGGTCTTGTTGGTCTTCCATTGAATATGAATCTTGCATTATCATCGGTAATGTGTTAAGACCAGAGCTAATATCTTGATAAGAACTAGTGGAAAGCTCTTCAGATCTTGACGTCTTATACCATACGTTCGGATCTGACGTCGCTCGACTCCCCACCAACGAAATATATCGCATTTCGGAAGGGAGAACCGATGGCACGACATATCCAACCTCGTTTACTTCAGATGAGAGAAAGAGGACGTAGCTATTGAAGAGAGCACAGTGATAATCGTGAATGATTTTCTCTGTTTTCTTTCTAGGGGGTGCGATTGTTCTGTCGGTGCGTCGGAGTATATTCATTTTGGTTTTGCTACTGACAAGGATTTGGGCTTTACTAACGCCTTTCCCAGCCTCTGCAGCTTCGACCATAACTGTTGCTCTTCTCTCTTTGAGATATTGTTTTATCGCGTGTCTACATTGTTTTACAAGTTTGGATGTGATTTGGCAGCTGCCTGTAGCTTGCGCCATTCCGCGTTGAAGTGTCAACTCGACTCTCTGGCTACAAATGTCTCTTGGATACATCCGATCTTTTAGCTTTATCAGCGCTAACATGAAGATGTTGAATGAGCCGATCATATTCCTCGTCGATGTTATCGACAACGGCATCTTCACAACAGCCGACTAATAAATTGAATAAGTCCCAGTTTATAGTGGTTCCGGGACTTTGGTTTTTGAATTTAGCGGCTTTTTCTCCTTTCCGTGAGAAATAGAACCGCGCGAAGGGGGCGATGGTGTGATCTCGTGTAGAATTTTGGGACAACGACGACATCGGTTAGGCAAAACCTTCTATTTACTACGATGTGATCTATTTCGTTGTCGTACTTCTCCAATGGGAGACTCCCACGTCCAGCGTTGAGAGCAGGACTTTCGGAATTGCGAGTTATCATGACAGTATGGTCGTCATGCTAAAGTCAGACAGCCGCTCATGAGGACAGTTCCTTTCTAATGCATAGGTCCTAGTGTGGCGTCCCTCAGACGTTTTTTTAGATTCAGTCTTTGCGGTTTACGACCTTAAAAAATTTATGGTTTTCTCTGGAAGTTCAGAATTTTTCCAAGAAATTCTGGAAGCTTATATAGAACGCCTCGAATTTGCCTTCGTCATAGCTTGACGTCAGTGCGCAGATGACGAAGATTTTCAAAGCCAGTATTGACTAACATCTTTTCAACCAAAAACGTCCGATTCGGGTTGTTAGATGTTCAATGGAACCAATGTTGATGGGCAAACTTCTGCTGACGTGAAAGGCCACGCCGCCAATTCCTTAAATATTGCGTGTTCCTAGGAACAGTTCGTCTCCGCTATCACCGACGGCATTGAATGGATTGCGTCTTCCCATTTCAGCAAGTCCAAAGGAGACGTAAGTCATCCTTCTTGTCTGCATGATCAATTCCTCCTCCGAGGACTTAAATACAAGTTAGCGTGCATTGTGTGTACAGCTCCTCACCTTATTCCTTCCAGATTTAGGCACCCTGGGATTTTAGAAACCTTTCCGCACTCACCCAGCCAACGGTATCGCACGGGCGCCCTTTTTTGGGGTTAGAGGAATGAAGGCAACTTATTTTACCGTGTTTATTACTTGATAGCCACACATAGTTTGCCGAGCATGAGGACATGAGAACTCAATACGCCCAGAGACAACATCTCAGCCTCTCACAGAGTAGACGAGGAGCTTATTTATTGTGGCGACCCTTACCCATCTCCCATGTATTTTCTAGTCACTTGATTGCAGGAAATCCGTATAAACCAGAATACGCCCATGCAAGCACACATGCATATGTCTTTGCAAACACAAAAGGTAGGTGTCAAATCGGCGCAGTAGAAGCAGCCAGTCCATTCCCTGAATCCAACTTCGTCTGAGAGAAGCAAAGATCGCTTTCGACGGCAATTAACTTTCCACCAGCCACCTCGGGTGGCGCTACCTTGCCTCCAGACTAACCAGCAGGAGATTCCCTTATGAGGGAGATCGGTGGTTTTCTGTAACAATCTATAATAATAGTGTAAAATGCCCGCAGGTCATGACGTCTTTTCGGTTCGCTCTCGTTTCAATTTCAAGACTACACAAATATGTACCTTGCAAGCTTTTGGATGAGATAAATAAAAAGTCAAACAAAAATAAACACGACTGTAAAATGTGATAGGCTTGAAAATACTGAGATAGTTTACATAACGCCTCATTAAGATTGCTTCGATAGCTGCCCTTTCGAAAATCTGCATTCTAGACTTAGGAAAGAAAATTTGCTGAGCCGTTTTCAGATTTCAAAATGTAATGGTGTCAATCAACAACAGAAGCTACTAAAAGAGTCGTACAATTAAATGGCGCGTAAATTGTGTAATAGAAAATTCTTGAAATCTCATGGACTTTAAGAAATTACGGTAACTCACCGGGTTTCTGCGTATCCAATAATTGGGTGCATTCCAGTTATAGATGTACATTAAATTGTGTGGGTATGACAACTTTGCGTAAGTGAAAGGAGAATGTTCTGGAGAAGCCGAAACTAAGCATGAGCTGCTAAGCTCTAAAGATACAGGTGAAGCAACAGCCAACGATTGCTACAAACTTCACGATGATAGAATATATGGATGTCAAAGCAATAAAGCGTGATGAAAAAGAGAAGCAATCATGAGAAAGAAGTGTAATGTGTAAATGCGCTATGGAAGACCATGTAAGTATATTTACATCTTTACATTACTTAATAGTTATTTGCAGAAAGCAGTATGACTTTCTGAGTTGAGCCGGCACTGATCTGTGAATTTATCGAAAAACTGCAAGAAACATAAAAGAGCAATGTACAAAAGCGCTTGGAACGATAATTAAAATCCAAAACTCCAATGGTGGAGAACAATGGAAGAATTCAGAGAAATGGTGTATAGGAACGGTGCTCAGAACGGGATGCGTTTTTTAAACTTCAGATCAAAATTTTCAAACCGATCTCGGTTTAACCTTAACCTCGGTAAAGAAATAATCAAAATGTTTTTAAATTTTTAACCTTACATGAGGTTGATAAATGTATTTATTTATGCTGACGTTTCGACGTCTTCGTCTTCATCATAGGCGATGTGATTCGTGTCGGTGGTCAACAGCTGAAGACGCCACATCGAGAAGACGAACAACTGTGGAACACCGACACGGATCAAAACGGCTATGGTGAAGACGAAGACGTCGAAACGTTAGCCGAAATAAATGCATTTGTCAACTTCGTGTAAGTTGAACAATTTAAAAACACGTTGGTTATTTCAAGTCAAAATGTGTCCAAATCTTACAGAATTTTGTTGATAGAATGAAAAAGAGCGCATTTCGTTTACAAGTGAACGTTAGCAGGGATGAATGCCCAGACTTCAGTTCATTGGATTTTTCCGTTCGAAAAACCCTGGATCGGAAACTATCAAACAAGAAAAATACTGGTTTGAATCACCTGTGCCATGAATGCAAACCAAATTAATGAAAACTGCAAGGAACTACGTGCGGTGAACGATGTTATTTGTGAAATCGAAACTACAATCAAGGACAACAGGAAGCGTTTACAAGGTCTTATGTAAAGTTTGTTTCACAGCTGATGAGTTGTAAAAGTAATAAACTTCGAAAAATGATGCGCAAAAACGAAAACTGTGATCTCTCACAACGCCCACATTTCTCGTGCAACCAACATATATACACACATATATATGTACATATGTGTATATTATGATAGACAACAATATATATTCAATAAT